GGCAGCTCCAGGATCACACGTCGTACAAGGTTGGCGACGCCCTCTGCTCCAACGTACTCCCTCGATTTGACTTCCCACGACTCACCAATGTCTGGACACAAGAAATCCCGAGCAAACTTGAAATCCTCGCTCATCAAGAGTTTGCATGAATGCGCAATCCAGTCATAGCCAGAAAGGCTTATGCTCCTCACAAGATATCCGTGCAGCTGCCCGATCCGTTTCCCAGGTCCAGAGGTCTTGGTCCGGGAAAGAACAAATTTCATTCCAAGCTGTGACAGCGTAACACTCGAAGGATCGATCCCCTGTATATCATCACATCGCAGCGTTCCCCAACACATAAGCAAGAAAATGAAGCATCCGAACCGCAGCCCAGGGGGTGTCCCGACCTTCACCAGCAGAATCTCAGCCGAGAGCACCATTGCCACCGTAACGAGCTCCGCCTGCTTGACCGGCTCGGCACCTGTCTCCAATTGCATCGTCCATGCCTTCACAGACTCCACAAGTAAAGGATCCTCCGACAGCCTATCTGCTGAAGGCCTCTGCCCAACCAGCTCCAGCAAACCGAGGCTTGACAAGATACTCTGCGGAACAGTCTTCCCCATCGGCCTGATCTGATGCCTCTCATCAAAGTACTGCAGCAACAGCGATGCGTCTCCTGGCCAAGGTTTCCCAGTCGCCTGAATCATCCACTCGCGCACCGGCTCCCACGTGCGAGCCCGATTCTTCAAGGTCTTGCCGCGCCTGCTACCGAAAGCCCGTAGCCAGGCCGATTCCGCGTCAGCCAGCGACCCAATTCTCTCAGATGCTGGCAGATCCGCCTCCTGGATGTAGCCCGCGAGCTTGAGACCCCAGCGGCGCCTGCACAAGTCCTCTGCTTCCACACGCGCCCCTGTTCCAGCTTTGCGAAGCTTTAACTTCTTCTCAAGAGCAGCCAAACCCAGCACAGGGTCAGAAGCCAAAAGCCCCTCATACAAATCGGCAGCCGTCACACTGGGCCCACGACGGATATAAGGCCCACGTCGGACATTCTGCCCGATCTCGCGAACAGTCCTTTCCACTGTCCCTTGATGAAGCGCGCACCACTTATGCACTGACTCTGTAAGCGCCACACGATCCTCAATCTTAAGAACATCACTCATCGAATCATCCACGATTGCCTGTACATCCTCAAGCGTAGCTGCAGCCAAGCAAAAGTTTCCAATATGCAAGAAGACCTTCGAAACACGCTCGCAGAAAACAGGGTTGATTTCTCGAAGCTGCTGCCACTCCGAGCCCATTGCCGGAATTCACTCATGGTGAGCCATAGCGCCGGAGGTCCCCTACGCCCACCCACTCACAAAAGAACTTGAGTCGTAACTTTGCTGTGCAAGGATCTCATTCACACTGTACAGTGATCAAGCACTCAATCTAAAATCAAGCCGAGGTAAAATCAAGCTCAAGTGAAATCGTCAATCACATGTCCGCAAGGATTCAAGCGTTCAGAGTCGTACTGTTTTTCCCCCCCACCCCCCCTCAAGGCTCTCGAACACACTTTTGGTAGGACCCAAGCAGCAAGTCTCCCACGCAGAAACAACAGAAGCAACCGCCGCTCTGCTCGCCTGATTGGTTGCCTCCAGCAAGTGATCATCCTTTAATGCAACTCTCACGTCAGCACGAGTGTCAGCATAAGTCGAAAAACGCTTCACATTCTTGAAGTTCTGCGCCAGCCGAAACTGTAACCCCAATGGTACACCACATTCTTGAAAGATGTGCACCAAATCGGAGCTGACCTCTTTATCCAAGAAATCCAGAGCAGCTGCCTCGGAGGTTCCCGCCGGCAACTCAGTCGGCGGAGGTGCGGCCATGCTGGACTTGTTCCTGGACTCAACAACGGACTTATGAGCAGTGCAACGCAGGATAACTTAAACCGTTCTCAAAGCCTCTGCACACGCAAGCTCAGTTGACATCTACCATGCATGTTCATCCAATTGCATGACTGAAGCTCGAGTGCCTTCCACCGGGCAAGGACTTCCGATTCATGGTGATGCACTTCCACCGGCATCACTCTATCATTCTGCTGCATTCCACCCGCAGCAAGCTCATGAACTGTTCACAATGCACTGCTTCCACCTGCAGTCTGTAAACTCAGCAGGCTCTCCCCGAACCCTTTTCAAGAACACAGCCTCTTCAAGTAAAACTCGGCACTGATGGCTCAAGCGCTTCTGGCTCAGTCCCTTGCCCTTCCTGCGAGTCCTCCGACCCACTAGTGGATGAATCATCGCAGCTCTCAATCTTCGGGCGACACAACTTGCATACAGCATCAGCAATGCCCTCGGTCAGTTTCATGACCGGTATAGTCTCAAGGCAGTTCTCCCGTCTCACAGCACAGCTCTTTGACAAGTGAAGACGGCGGAAACCCCGCCTGGAGACGGTGATGAAGTACGGAGCCTCATCAGTATCTTCCCCGCCTTCAAATGCCTCATAAGGCCCAGGCAACTCTGCATCAAGATCGCCTGCTGAAGCCCGGACCCGGTCAGGCCCCAACGGGATGCTGGGAAACGCGCCCCCTAGCTTGAAGGTCTCTTCACTTTCATCCCATTTCAAGACAGTGCATGCATTCAGGATTGCAACACTCTCAAGCCCCAGGCCCTCAGCAAAAGTCTTTATCGAGAAGAGAAGCTCTTCCTCAATGTAGCCTCCCTCCGGACTTCCGATCAGCAGGCTCTTGCAAACAAAGTTCTGCACTGCTTGCACCACCTGCCTCGAAGTCAGCACATAGTCCTGCGAACCATGCTGTGCGTAGGCCCATCGGCCTAGATAGTCCCGCCGATCCTTGCTTATGCCAAGTGCTGCTGCCAAGCTTGTTAGCACATGCCTCGCGCTGTGCCCTGACCAGTAATTTGCCATCTGACCTGGCAACAAGAGCTCTCTCGAAACTTTCCAGATTCCCTGCTGCCTGACAGGAGTGGGAAGATGCTGAAGGAAACGTCTGATCTGCAATGCTAGCCCTTCTGCCTCCATGTATTCCTTTGAGGCCCCGTCCCAGTCTTTCGTGAATGCAGGACAGAGAAAATCACGAGGCCACGCGAGCAGTTCTGCAGAGAGAAGCTTGTGCCCTTCCATAATCCAGTCAAACCCACTCAAGCAAGCAGCGCGAGAGACAAATCCATGAAGTTCCCCAACCTTGCGGCCCGGTCCACTCGTTTTAGTCTTATTCAAAACGAATCGCAGACCCACCTGGCTGAGCTTCACAGACGTAGGACTGATGTTCTGCACGTCATCAGCTCTCAGGCTAGCCCAGCACATCAACAGCAAGATGAAAGCCATGTATCGCAATCCCACCTCGTAGCTGGGCCGGCAAACCACCAGCTCACAAGCTAGCAGCACCACCACGGGCAACATTGGCGCTGGTTTGGCCGGTGGTGCACCAGTCTCAAGCTCAGCACTCCATGACCGAATCGTTTCAAGCAAGAGCTGGTCTTCACACAGCCGCCGCTCAGACGGAACCATTCCCACAACTTCAAGAAGAGAGATGCTCGCCAATATTGCCCGCGGCACTGTCTTTCCCATCGCCTTCACAGCATGTCGCTCCTCAAGATATTTCAGGATTTGTCCCACATCTGCCGGCCACGGGGCCCCAGTAGTCACCATTAGCCATTCTCTCACTGGCATCCAAGAACGCGCCCGATTCCGAAGTGTTTTGCCTCGCCGATTTCCAAAGATCCTCAACCACGTCGCTTTGCTGTCGCCCAGTGCTTCCAGGCGTTCTGAGCAAGGCAACTCTGCTTCCTTGATATACACTACGAGCTGCATCGCCCATCTTTCTCGGATCTTCGTTTCCATCTCTTCCCGGCTCCCACTCGCCTTTGAAGTTCTCACAGCCCTCTTCAATTGCGACAACGCAACAGCTGGAGTCATCTGCACCTCGTCTTCAAACACCGCTGTGATGTCCCTCATCTTCCTTGGAACCTTCACCGGAAGCTCGCGGATGTGCTCCTGCAAAATGCGAACACTTGATGGCCCACGATGCAACCGTTTCTCCTTCCAGTTCCACAAGCTGCTTGCCAACTTGTTGATTTCTTCAGCTGGCTTCTTATCCCCAAGGAGCTCCTCCACTGTATTTGCTGCTTCGCCCTCATCATCAAAAGCCCCATCAAATTGCACAATGCTCGAATAATTCTCACGGATAGCAGCAATCAATGCAGGATCAAGACCATGCAGCGCCGACCAATCGGCATGTCTCTTCATGCCGACTGCAGCTGAGCTCGCTGCCCATGCCTATCGAGCCGCAGGTCTACCCGCCCCTCACACACAAAATTTGTCCTCGTGCCAAAGTGGCAACGACATTCGTACAGTTGACCTGAGCTCAAGCAAAACGCAGTTAGTGCAGACAAGCAAGAGGAATTCATGGCATTGCAATCTACGAAATTACCAAAGTACTTTCCAAGCGGCGCGAAGCCTGACGCAAAGTTTTTCACTTTTCCCCCGGCCCACCCTCCCGGCTCAAACCACGAGACAATCCTTTTGGGGAACCCAAACGGTATGTTCTACAGCTGAAACTACACAAAAAAACCTACCTTGAGAAGGAAACAGCTCACCAAAGCAGCAACTGGTTTAAGGTTTGGGGTAATGCTGGGACTTTGAAGTTTAGATAAGAATAGCAAGCAACAACTTCGAAACAAGAATTTTTAGCTAACTATGATATTTGGGATCTGGGCATGACCGTGGCGAGTATCATTTTTTTCACAGCTTCACAAAGCTCCAAGGTTGAGGTTGTGAGAAGTAAAAGAACTCGCAACGCTGTGTAGCCTCCCAAGGGCTGCCGCACAAGATTTCACCTTGGTGATGCTCTTGGCTGGCAGGCACCCTCCCGCAAACGGCAGCACAACCGTTTCAAACTCTCTTCACTTGCTCGGGGTGTTTTTGAAAGAAGAACAAAGCCGCAGCACTGACATTGCTATCAGATGGCAAATCGGCAAGGAAAAGATCGCGAGGAATCCTCGCAAAGAAGATCATCGAATCTACGCTGCCCCCACAACATCCTTTGTTGCGGAAGGGGCAGCTGCAGCTGCAGCATCCTGGCTGCCGGAAATCCAGTTCAGGAGCCTGCCAGTGCGCAAACCAATCAGCTCTGGATAATCCGCAATTCGTGCGGTCAGCAGGCCAACGGATGACTTGTCATCGCTGGCCCTCAGCTTCAGGACCCGGCAGCCATGGGTGACGTCCTGGGCCATCTGACAGTAGCAGTGGCCGGCTGGGATGCCCAGGGCTTTGCCCGGGGACAGATGAACAATCCAGCCTTTTTTCTGGCAGATTTTCAGGAAGTCGTTTGGGTCCGTGGCCAGGGTCGCATCACAGAAAGCCTTGAAGCCGTCTTTCATCATCGTGGTATTGATCTGGAATCCGCAGCACACAGATGTGCCCTCCAAGCACATCTTGAACTCAGTCAAGGCATAGTCTGTTGTGAAGTAGATCTTGCTGGTGTTTTTCCCCATGCTCCAAAACATTGGCGAAAACACCTCTTTCAAATCACCGTCTGTGGTGACATCCTTGATGTGCTTGGATGCATTGCCAAGGCAGCTCATCCAATCCTTGTTGAGCTTCGTGCAAAGCTGCGGTTTGGCGACCACGTTGGTTGACAGCTCGGGGCCGCTGCCTTTCTTCCAGCTTTCGGCCAGCCAGGTCTTCTGCTGCTCGTAGTACGGCAACTCCAGCCACTCCTGCAACAGCTGCTGGTTCTGGGCTGCAGCCAGAACCAGGGCAAAGGCCTGGTTCTCCTTCTCAACCCAGTCGGCAGCGGCAAACACCACGCCCTGATCCTCGTCGATGTTCTCCACTGCTTGGGTCCAGAAGAGGTTCGACAGGGCCTCGCCAAGTGGGGAGTTGCTGCCGGGAGGCAGGCTACCTGTCTTCTGGCTCTTGGCTGCCTTGTTTGCCGAGGAAACTGACAGTCGCTTCTTCTTGTTGCAGCCCTTCTTGTACTCGGCACACCAGGCGCTGATCTCCGCCAGGTTGTCCTTCACCTTTTTCACCGCATCTTTTGATGCGAACGTCTTCACAAAGGCCGAAACATCCATGAAGTACTGGTGCCACTTCTCGGCGGCCTCGTCGGAGGTGTCCGAAGGGTTGCTTTCCAAAGCAGTTGTCCATTTCCTGGGCTCGGCAAACTACAAGAATGATAGACTAGGTATTTCCCAAACTATCAAACACCTTGATAAGGACTCTAATCTGCTGTTTCCCAAACTATCAAAAGGTCTGAGAAGGACTCTATTCTGCTGTTTCCCAAACTATCAAAAGCTCTGAGAAGGACTCTATTCTGCTGTTTCCCAAACCATCAAAAGGTCTGAGCAGGACTCTATTCTGTTGTTTCCCAAACTATCAAAAGCTCTGGGAAGGACTCTATTCTGCTGTTTCCCAAACTATCAAAAGCTCTGAGAAGGACTCTATTCTGCTGTTTCCCAAACTATCAAAAGCTCTGGGAAGGACTCTATTCTGCTGTTTCCCAAATTTCCTCAAATTCTGCTATCAAAAGCTCTGGGAAGGACTCTATTCTGCTGTTTCCCAAACTATCAAAAGCTCTGCGAAGGACTCTATTCTGCTGTGGCCCAAATTATCAAAAGCTCTGGGAAGGACTCTATTAGTCTGAGAAGGACCCTATTCTGCTGTTTCCCAAACACTCAAAAGGTCTGGGAAGGACTCTATTCTGCTGTTTCCCAAACTCAAAAGCTCTGAGAAGGACTCTATTCTGCTGTTTCCCAAACTATCAAAATTCTGCTGTTTCCCAAACTATCAAAAGGTCTGAGAAGGACTCTATTCTGCTGTTTCCCAAACTATCAAAAGCTCTGGGAAGGACTCTATTCTGCTGTTTCCCAAACTATCAAAAGCTCTGGGAAGGACTCTATTCTGCTGTTTCCCAAACTATCAAAAGCTCTGAGAAAGACTCTGTTCTAGAATGCACAGCCAAGATGCTCGATCGTCTCCTCCAAGTACTGCTCGGCACCCTTGTAGATCTCCTCGAACTTGTCCGTCCTTGTCTTCATCTCGACCATGGTGGTGGGGTCGTTCTCGGACATCTGCTCGATCTCCAGCTTCAGGGTCTTGAGAGCTGTCTTGAAACGATACAAACTCGCTTCACAACTCGATCTCGCCCTGCTGATGCTGCTTTCATATTGCAATTTTTCAAGTGCCGCACTTGACACCTTCGGTCTCTGGGAAAGGAGTTGTCGCCGTTTTTCCTCAATCTTCTCTGTAGACCAGCTGTTCGGCCGCCATCCTCTGTTTGCTCGACGCCTCCATGTCTGCTTGGATCTGAAGCAGAGGGGTCTCTCTGTGGACCCCGGCGGCATCTGAGCTCATGCGGTCTGCACGGAGCAACGTCTCTCCCCTTTGCAGGCGCATGTCCGCTTGGGTGCCGAAGGCCTCCAAGTCCTCGGAGTTGTGAAGATCGCACCTCTGCTTGAGGCCTGCTGTGATGCTGTGGCGGCTGCCATCTCTTTCTTTCAAAAACCTGATGTTTCGCAAAGGTCGAGTGATATCAGATATCACGTATCAAAGCGATGCCAATCATATAAAAATCAATCCATCTCGGAATATGGCAAGATCAATCAGTAAAAGATATATTGTATCAGAAATCCTCACGATGTAAGTTAAATGAGGATTCACAGAACTCTCGCGCCACACTCTTTTTATTCGCACGGTGATCAAGGGTGAATTCTGATTCAGGAGCCCCCACAGCTCCGGCCAAACCGATGATCAAGCATCTCGGGTTTGGCAAGCTGAGATTTCCAAGATCAAGGGAGCAGCGTCCTGAATGCCCCCCCGTCCGCATTGGGTGGGAGGGTGGGAAAGAAAAATTTTTTGCCTCTCTCTTTGAGCAGACTCGCGGGAAAGCCAAAGGTATCCGATCTGCTTATTCAAAGACAATGAAAGTTCTCATGCAAGAAATGTTCTTCAAAACTCACATGCAAAACACGGCAGCTCTGCTGCCTGTCAGGTTTTTAAAAGAAAGAAAAGTCTGCAAGCAGAAAATGTTCTTCTTTCAAAAACCTGATGTTTCGCAAAGGTCGAGTGATATCAGATATCACGTATCAAAGCGATGCCAATCATATAAAAAATCAATCCATCTCGGAATATGGCAAGATCAATCAGTAAAAGATATATTGTATCAAAGATCCTCACAATGTAAGTTAAATGAGGATTCACAGAACTCTCGCGCCACACTCTTTTTATTCGCACGGTGATCAAGGGTGAATTCTGATTCAGGAGCCCCCACAGCTCCGGCCAAACCGATGATCAAGCATCTCGGGTTTGGCAAGCTGAGATTTCCAAGATCAAGGGAGCAGCGTCCTGAATGCCCCCGACATCACGCGAACCCCTGATGAAGGAATCTCTGGTTTGAGCTTTCATCATGGATGAAAGCTTCCACGACCTTGGCGCCTACCAAGCTGAGGATGCTGTGCCCCTCACCTCGTGAAGGAGGATCGGCTATGTTGGAAAAGGAAGGCACTCTCTCGTACCAAGCGATACAAGGCGCCTCAGCTTCGATCACTGCAAGATAATGGGCGAGGCGATACATCGACTCGCTCTGGCTCAAACCTTTGATGGCTGAGGTGCGTGCTGCTTCGTTGTCAAGCCAAAAGATGACTCTTCTGTTGCACAAGCTGTTTTGGAGCATGCGACGCAGAGTGACCAAAGCGTAGAGCTCGATCTCGCATATGAGTTGCGATCCCACATCCAGCTTCCAACGTTCCAAAAGCTTAGCGGGTACACAACCGGCAAAAACCCTGGCACTATCATCTAGCGTGTCAAGAACAACCGCACCTATTCCAGCCCAAGGGTCTTCCCAAGCTCCATCCGTCCAAACATGAATGGGCGGTCGAGGGTCAAAGATGCGAAGGACTCTAGGTGGAGTGGTGCTCAAGACAGCCTGCGTAGTTTTGCAGAAGCGCTTTATTTCGGCGGCCGTTTGGCGCTTCCCCCTTACCAAGGAGAGTAGGAAGTGGCACGCTGGCTTCAAGGATCGGCCTGCAAAGAAACCTGAGGCATAGTTCAAGAGTCCAAGGAGAACTTGCGCCTCATGCCTGCCCAGGGCCCCCTTGTCAAAAATGCTGCCCAGCATTTCGGAAATGCGCTTGACACGGCCTTCCTTGTTTGCCAGCACGGCAGCACCTTCGTGCAGACGACTGATGTCCAGCTGCATTCCGAGGACTGTGAAGGCCTCCTCGTACGGTTGACCCTTTACCCCGGTCTGGGCGAAGCGCCACCCCAGCAGTTCTAGGAATTCGGAAGTTAAACCATCAAGCTCGTGGGCCCCATCTCTCAAAGTGAAGAGAGGGTAATCGTCGAAGTAGTTGGCTGAAGGGATCTTCAGCACTTTGGCCAGCAGGAAATGCAAGCTTCTAGCCACTCTTACAAATCCATACACCGACGATGTCAAGCCGAACATCAGTGCGTTCGCAATAAAGAATTGCGGTTCGCCATCTTCATTGGGATGGCAGATGACGGCGATGTCACGGTGTTGCGGGAGTACCCCTAGTTGTTTATAAGCTTTTGAGAGGTCTAGGGTCCGACCCACCCACTTCCTCGCAGCGACACCTAGGCGCTCTGAACGTTCCTTTTCGGCCTGGGAGATCAGCAGAGCCAGACCCGCGACGAAGTCGGCCCCTTGAAGTTCCAGCTTAATCAAGGAAGTGAAAGCCTCATTGACCTGCGAAGCATGCCCATCATCTATGGGTCGAATCTTCTTTTCAAGGCCTTGCTCAAGAACGAACCTGGGAATGATGCCCCAATCCGAATGGCCGAAAATTTCAGTGACCTGGGCTTCGGTGTAGGGTCCCTCTATGAAGTTATCGGTAACCTCGGAGTTAGAGGCCTCCTGAAGAAGCGAAATCTCTTCAGGGGTCGCACGGTTCGGTTTTGACAAGGCAGCACGACGGCGCAAAGAGGCAGTGGCTCTGAGTTCTGATTCGGACATGGAAGCCATGGCCACCTTGGTCTTAAAGCATTCAGGTTTTTCCGAAGTTCCTACCAAAGGCACCCCTTTCTTCATCAGATCCACTACCCCCATGTCGTCAAAGCCATGATTTCTCAAGAGAGACTCCCACAAGCAAATCCTTTTTCCTTTGACCACCTTCTCGAACCAAGGCGGGAAGGAGGCATGAAGTTTTGTCTCTTCTTCTTCAAGGGATTTGGCAAGGAGCTTCACCTTAAGGAGCTCAAGCTTCCTAAGCTGATTAGCTTTGGCAGAGTCATGCGCCATGCAAAAGTTGACGGCTTCCCACACAGGTGGGTCAACTGCGATCGCCTTGTCCACAGGATGCTGCAAAGTTCGGGCTTTCGAGACATGTTGATCCATATTGAGCCAATGGCCTACCTTGACAGGTTTCAAGTTCTTTGGATCCGAAGTCTGACCCCCACTATCCCCCGCAACGTGGGTCAGGAGGATCTTGCAAGACTTATCTGGCTTGAAGCGGGGAGTTTCCCAGGTGACCTTGTGAAACTCCGGAATGAGCGGGGCATGCCGCCTGCTTTGCTTGGCTGCTGCAGCCATGGCCTTTGCATGGAAATCATCGGGCGCCGTGAGGACCCGGCCCGACTGTGATGCCAGAGAAGAGACACAGTCTGCCATGCGTGTGCACAGCAAAGGAGGATAGCACGCACTAAGGCGGGAGTGCGACCACCATGGAGCATGCTCATGATCTTTGCTGCACTTGGCTGCCAGAGGGGAAAAGAGGCCTTTGGAAGCCAGAAGCTTGCACTGCTTGGGGCGGTCACCCCCATGCGCACACATGGCAAAGGTAACCTGTTCAAGTTGGCTAGGCGGCCACCTGATGGCAGCCTGAGATGCAAAGCGTTGGAAGACATGCCACAGCAAAGAGTTGGCCGGGTTTTCGACACTGACTGAAATGTTGGCGTCGAGGCATAAGCAAATGACATCGAAGCAGAACCGGAAAAGGGCATTTTCCTTCCTAAGCTTGATGCCTTCGGCAGAAGACCACACTATCTGGGGCACACCCAAGCAATGTGTCGGCGTCCGAAGCGTGCTCAAACGGGCGCCCTGTGATCGGCAATCAGGTTTCGCGGCCCGCTGGGAGGCTGACGCAGAACCTGCCGGCACCCCTAGGTGGACGTGAAAAGGTTTGCACTGCTTCAACATTGACATAAAGACCTCGCGACCTGCGTCTGTGGAGAAGTCAAGATTTGCAGTAGGGACCATGGCCCCGGCTAATTTAGCATCAAAGGCTAGAACCTTGAAGCCTTTCCGGAGGCAAGCTCGAGCGAAACCCCCAGTGCCCGAAAAGATCTCGAAGATCCACGTGCCATCAGGTCGCGGGGGCTGCGCCTGCTCGGCGATCTGAAGTGGGAAACCCAAGGAGGTCGGGGGCCTAAACCCAAGGGACAAAAGGGAATGTGCATCGGCAACAGGAAGTTTGGACAAATCAGAGACACAAAATGCCACAGCGATCAGTCTTTTGCCATGCCACGGTTCGGTACAATGGCCTCGGGAATAAGCCTCGAAGGTGATGGGTCCAGCAGACACATCAAGCAATTCGCCAGCGGTCGGTGTGCCGTTGATGGGGCGCATAACCGAACCATGGTCACACTGGGCCCAGATGTGGCCTCCTGTGAACGCTCCGATCGGTATGACACCAGTGGGGGACTTATGATTCTTGGAATCTACATGCATTGATGTCATGGAATTGCAAAACAGGAAAACAGTAGTAAAGAAAAGATCCGGGAGTTGAGCTCGCACGAAAGCTGTGATAGCTTTGGTCGTTTGTGGGAAGTTCTTACACTCACCACGCAGACCTTGAAGCCCTCCCTGGGAAAAAGCCCCAACCCCAAAATTCGGTTGCTGAGTTCTGGCGTCAGGACGTAGCAAGCCATCCGCAACAATATGTTCATGCAACTTTTGCAAGTCAAGACGGGACGGCGGCACATTGACTGAATTAAGAGTCTTCGCGAAAGACTCTGAGCATGTAGCTCGGCTTGCACTGTGGGCCAAGGGAGCTGCCTCAGGAGCTGGCCCACCTCCCGATTGGCTGGGTCACTGCATGCCATGCGTACATTCACTGTACGGGTGATTCTTGTTGCAGCCTATTTTCCAACACTGGTGAAATCCTTTCGGACACCTACCTTTCACCACCTTGGCCTTACAGGTGCCCAAGTTAAACCCAAAACAATTCGGCCGGTTCTGCGAATCACGTGCGGAACAACCTTCAGGTATCTCGATCCTTGGTGTTTTGCCCTTGCCCCCGCCTTTGCTGCCTTTGTCACCTTTGCCTTTAGTCTTCTTGGGCGGTGCATCGTCGTCACCATCCTGGGGCCTCTTGGTAGGATGGGCCGGCGGAGGCGGGGTGAGCAAGGGTGACAAGAACTGCGTGATGTCATGTGACACAGACAAACGCTTCAGCTCTGCATCCAACGGCTTGGTAGCTCCCACTGGTTTCTGGAGCTTTCCTTCAAGGTTGTTCGCTGCCCTGATGAAGAGTTCCTTATCTGCTGCTACAATCTGGGACAAGGAGACCTTGGTGTACCCGGTGGGAACCTGCCGCTGGGTCAGTTCGAAGATGGTGTTGACCCACTCCTCCATCACCTCAAAGGTGCAGAGGTTCCCTAGGTCCAGAGCTAGCGAGCGGCGAAAGAAGGCTTGCCGAAGCGCATAAGCGCCATTTGTGTCGCAAACCGGATCCGGGACCTTAGTGCCTAGCTTGAGGTTTCCCTCCGCGTCGATTTGGATCGACGAGTCCTTCTTTGCCAAGCTCAGCTCCTGTGACCGGGAGGTCCACCTGTTCATCGGCAGATACCGCAAGGAGTTGTTTTCCAACATGTCGGTGACCTGATCGATGCTCGCATGGGATGGCTGGTTCGACACCGTGAAGACGACTCCCTTCAAGCGAGCCTGCTGAGCTTCTTGTCTGGCTATTCGTTCAGCAGTGGGAAGTTTCTTGATTGTGTTTTCAGGCTGGCCTTCCACACGGGTCCGCAAGTCAGCTATGTTGAGCGACTGGCTTTCAAATAGGAGCCGCCTGATCACCGAAACCTGGAACGCTGAAGGCCTTGGATCTACGACCGTGGCCAACCACACATCGATGGCCTCATCGGTAAGGGCCTGCGGGGAGCTCGCAGCAGCAAAGGCGATCTTCCCGAAGGTGTCATAGCCCTTATCTTTGAGCTTGCCATACAGCTCCGGCGTCATGCCGATTCGGAGACACCTTTCTTGAAAAGCAGCCTCCGAGTCCAAGGTGGCCGACGTCATGGCTGCAAGCGATCACGATTAAACCCCCGAGTTCGGTGATCTTGGATCAACGTTTGACAGGTGATGCTCTCGTGCCAGCAACCGTCATGGTCCTCCGCTGTGAGCCACGGCCGCAATAAGGGCAGCTCAATCATCCACCCGTGCCACGGGCCAACCCTGGCCGGCACAAGGCGATACACGATCACAAGGCCAGCCCCGGGTATCGTGAGATACCGGCTGACATTTGCATGTGGTGACTCGGACTTACAGTCATCACCGCGTTAATCAATCCCAGCGCTTCTCTCTCAAGCCGTCATGGGTCAAACCGACAAGTTCTGTCGTCAGATATATCACTCGGGTCTCGGGTGAGAAACTCACCGACCCAGATCACAAAGGGGTATGCCCAACCTTGCGTATCAGCCCTAAGCCATCGTAGCGCCATAACTACACGACCGAGGCCACGGGCACAAAAGCCGGCCGATCAGCATGGACTGTTTCAAGACTTATGAGGCTTCGACAGGTCCTGGCATCCCAATTTGTGAATGTTGCCACCACTCGCTCCCCACGGCTTTTGTCTGCGGCGTCTCAGACCTGGTCAAAACTCCGATGCCCGACGACACTGAATACACGGCTCGGGCTCCTCCTCGTCTTCAGTGGTGAAGACTCTGTACCTTGAGGTGACCGGCCTCCCGCAAAAGAAGCTTGAAGCATCCCTAAGTTTGTGTACGATGTTTGACAGGGAATGGATCATCAGCTGGTCAGCGGTGCACTCCGTAAAGGGGAGCCTAGACCCGGTAGCCTCCGCTGGGCGCCCGAAGAATTCCGTCTCGGACTCAGCGGACCTCGAAGCCAAGGACTCCAGCTCGTCGGGTTCCTCGTTCGGTGGTGCCGGAGCATCTGGCTCCGGGCGGCTGAAATGTCTTGACGCTACAGCTGCAACCCTGTCAGAAGTCGACACGTCGGGATCGAAGTCCCCAGCACGGATGCTCTCGAAAAGTGCAAGGAGTTTCCCAGCGAGGGAGATGTAGTACTGGCGGGAGTAGATGAGATTAGATGAACCACCACGTTTGAAGTGGTGCCCGAGCAGCAACTTCTCCTTGGCACTGAAATGGACTGTGGAGCTCCATCCCACCCATGAAAGTAAGGTAGCCTTCAGACTATGTGTACCAATCGATTCGTCAGGAGAGGCCCCCATGCCAATGGTAAGAAGGAACTCCTCAAGGAGGTCCGATCCCTCCTCCGAACTCATAGGTACCGTGGCCCAGCAACCGGCACGCTGAGACCAGGACGGAAGGCACCCCGCTGAGAAGTCAAGGCCTTCAGCAGCACGAGCCTGTAGCCACAACTCCGCCCAAGGTTGGCCGCTTGCCCCTCCAGCCACGCATACGTAGGGCAGAAACTTCGTTTGGGCGTCAGCCGTCAAAGAAGTCTTAGAGCCCAAGCCAGAAGCAATAAGAAGTTGCCCACGGCCTTCACCTATCAGCTCGAGTTTCTTGACTTTTTGAGCATCCGCCCACCGGCAACATGAATGCACGCAGAAGAGCATGAGGCCGAGCACGCATTGCAGCCAGGTTGAAGACTTGGTCATAAGCTCCTCCAAGGCTTTAACCCTCGCATACGACAAGGGGTCTCGCTGCTTGAGCGGCTCCTTGTTAAGTCGCATGTCTCTGGCAATGCCCCGCACCCGTGATGATAGAATGACATCCAAGGACATGAAGTTGAAAACAGCCACCCCGTGCAGAAACCCCAGCGCTTCCACAAAGTGTGAGGCAGTCGAGGCCTTGGCATCCGAGCTGCGAAGCTTGTTGAAAATCTCGTAGGCCTGGGGCTCGGTCAAGCGCCAGGGCGACTCGAAGCCTAGGTCCTAGGTCATAAGCCATGATAGCCAAAGATTGCAGCGAGAGAGCTCGTTTTTGAATTGTTGTGGAGGCCTTGGCCCTAAAGGCATCCGCCAGACTAGTTGCAATCACCTCGTCAGGCTCCAGACCCAATCCTTGTTTCAGCAGGCTTGCCCCAAGGCGAGTCGCTTCCGGGTCTAGCAGTATCAAGACCTTGAAACGCTTCAAGGCCCCATCTCGAATGTCATCGTCACTTTTGGTCAAGCGAACACGCGTCAGGCGACGCACCACAGTCCATGGAATTTCACTTGCTGCTTCCGGTGCAGGCTCCGATGAAGACGCTGCTCCCATAAAGACTTCCCTCACTCCCACTGCAGGCACAAAATTGAAAATGTTATCGTAGGACTTCTGAAGAAATGTCTTGGGCTGGCTCCAAGGCAGCGAGGGCAGGTCGAGTCGTCTCTTCTTGCAGAAGGCCACCGTGGCGGCCTGTCTCGCATCATCATCAGCAGCAGCACCACACAACCAAGAAGCCGTCTCCCCCCCCCTGAACAATGTCAGGAGGAAGAGCTCCACGAAGTTCTATCGGAGGATCTGTCTCTCCTACCTGCGAGTACCATTCCCTTTCCTCAGCAAGGGAGGGTTCGTAAGCTAAATCAGAAGGTTCCCTATCCAACGAAGGATGGGTGGCGAGACTCCCAAAATCAAACTCTGAAAAGCCCCTCTCCTCAGAGAATCTGGACTCCCGAGGGCTGTTGCCCTCCTGTTCCCTCGCACGTAGCAGGTTCCAAGGGGAGCCCGAGCAGCCCTGATCGAGGTCCTGGTCTTCGTCACTAATCTCAAAGGATTGGCTAGGCAGATCCCCAACCGACCCCCTGAAGTCCCGAAGTCCCCTAACACCCCTTGGCAGAGACTCGGGACTGGCTGAAGGCAGGTCCCCCAGCGACAAAGGAGGCTCAGGCGGGAAAGGTGCCGGCTCAACCGGAGTGGAGACCTGTTGCAAGAGTTGCCCTGTCACAGGGCAAAGCACTGGCACCTGCTGAGGCGCCGGAAGCGTCCCGTCCATCTAGCACCCCCAACGGGGGGGCGCCGTGCACTCAGCTAAAGCCTTGAGATTAGCACCTGGAGGCTTCTAGCTTGCACAATACGGGACTCTAGAGGCCAGAAAAATTTCTTGCCTCTCTCTTTGAGCAGACTCGCGGGAAAGCCAAAGGTATCCGATCTGCTTATTCAAAGACAATGAAAGTTCTCATGCAAGAAATGTTCTTCAAAACTCACATGCAAAACACGGCAGCTCTGCAGCCTGTCAGGTTTTTAAAAGAAAGAAAAGTCTGCAAGCAGAAAATGTTCGTCTTCCAGGCCGGTCCACACACGCAGCAGGACCTCGCCATTCACAGTCTTCGTCTGGCTGGTCGGCTTGTCCAGCTCCCGCTTCCAACGGGTGGGGAGCTCCTCGGGCGAGCAACCGGTCACCAACCTTTCTGTTGCGGCCCAGTCTCGGAATCTGGTCCACCGGGCCACGTCATCGCTGCCGCTGTGCCGGCTGCGATTCTCCTCCACGATTCCCACTCCGGATTCAAACGTGCGGCGTTTGTTGGAGAATCCTTCAGCTTCTCTTTTGGCTTTCTGTTTCTTGTACGGCTCTGTCCTCCTCGCTCATCTTGGCCACTTCGCTTTTGACCTTTTCGGCCTTCATTCTCATGTCTTGCTCTGCCGGGGTTTCGTCAGCCCCCTTAACCTTGGTCTTGCAAGACCTCTGCAAGGACTTGTCAGTTGCTGCACAACCTGTACACACACGCTTCAGGGCATTCCGCCCTGATGCATGGGAGTTCTCCAGCAACACAGGGTCCCTGCACTTCTGACACACAAGCTGTGTCTCAGACATCGCTCGGTGTCGGCAGAAAAAGGAAGAGTACTCTCGTGGCGAGGCAGGCAAACTCGGCACTGCCCGGGCTTCCTAAAAGAAGCAACCTGAAAAGCAAAACGGCTGGAGACATGATATGAAAAATTCCATCATGGAGTGGCTGCTACTTCCTTCCAAAGTTCTCTCTCTCTCTCTCTCTCTCTCTCTCTCTCTCTCTCTCTCTCTCTCTCTCTCTCTCTCTCTCTCTCTCTCTCTCTCTCTCTCTCTCTCCCTCTCTCTGTCTCTCTCTTTCTAGCTCCTGCTGATGTCGTGGCACTTTCTTTTCCTTGGTCCACGCCTTCTCGGTGCAGGGTGCTACAGAAAAGTGTTGTCGGCCGCACTAATTATGGTGGATGTAGCCCTGGTAAACTATCTGCAAAGGGATGACAGCAATACAAACATTATGAACAGAACACTGGCCACATCCCTAGCTGCTAGTGCATATCAAATTATCTTGCACTTCGTGCAATCTAATTGATTTATGCAAGGACATCACAAGGTCTTGAGTGCCCATTCGATGGTTGCCCTCATTTTTTGTCTTTTTCTTGGCGGTGAAACAACAGCTGGCTTGGTGCTGGGTGCATCACAAACTTCTGCAAAACAAAGACTGCTGAGCTCAAGTCGAGACAAGCGAGGCTGCCGAACACCTCGCCACAACTTCCCAGCTACTACAGCAGCACGCAGGAGTGGGGCCAACATTATGCTGGCCTGCAAAACGTTGAAACAGTTGCCTGCTGCCTGCAGAACATGTTGCTTGCTTTTGAAATGCTGGAGAAGATTTGGGCTGTGACCTTGAAGGATGAGCCTTTCTTCTGGCAGCACATAACGATGAAACTCCATCTGGCTGCTGGGCAGATGGATGTCTGCAGTGGACAGCACAAACAATAGAGGCCCCTGTGTTCGCAGACTGGGCACCCGGTCTTTGTGGACTCTCCCTCCGACGGCCCGCAAGGGGCATCTGTCCAACTCGACAACAGCAAGGTCGAACTCGTGCTTTCGCCTCTCTTCTGCAACTGCCTGGATGTAAAGCTTGAGGTTGGCAGCTTGAGTTGCAGTCATGCTGTCGGTGGTGTCATTAGCTTTACCTGGCAGGAGCAAGCTTCGGAGGGTGGGAGGTTGGATTCCGGCAGTCTCCCAGGGGTGACGCAGCACGACAGGAAGCTTGCCATCTTCTGACAGGCAATCTTTTCTCAATCCTCTTACCCATAACCTTTCGCGATGCATAGGCCAAACTGAACCCAAGTCGTGTTTAACAAAACCGATTTCAAACCATGGGATGCAAAGCCGCAGTCGCTCCAAGGTGTCATCAAGAAAACGTGAGCCCATCATGGCCGAACTGTTTTCCAAAAGGAAAAACATCAGGCTTCCTCTATGTGCAAAATGAATAATCATTTCCACTGTCTGTTCCCACACTTCGCACCTTGGATCTGCTTGCTGAGATCGCAACCCGCACATGGCCCAAGGTTGGCAGGGAGGCCCAGCGATCAGCCCCTCGGGCTCCTGTTGCAAAGAAGCAACGTCGACCTTCAAAATGTCGCCATGCATGCCCAAGTTGAGCTGATCTGCTTGCTGCCCCAAACAATCTCTCCAACAATGTGCAAGGCCTTTGTCATTTTCATAAACAGCTGTTGGCTCCCAGGACACGCCCACGGAGGAACACAAAGACCTATAACCACTGATGCCACAACATGGCTCTGCCACCACAACAGCCCTTTCCAGAAACTGCAAGGGCTGCAGTATTGTTCGCAGCAGCAATGTTAGCGAACTTGCCATGTTTGAGCCGGCATACACCAAAACAGCTGCCGACGTTCAGATCCGAGCTTTGTGCTTGAAAGTTGTTTGTAGATTTGGGTTTTGGTGGCTTTGGGCTTTGCGGTGTGCTGATCTGCTATGAGGATTGCAAAAACCTGAACCTTGAGGCTGAAAGGCAGTCGCTTTTTTCCGCACAGCACTGGGCTTCAAAGCCCGGTTCACTTTAAAGCAAAATCGTGCACTGTGGCGCGCAGAACATGTTGCTATCCTAGTGGATAAGTATCCACAAGCAGCCTGAGCCAACACCTTCACTCAGTCTGTGTGTCTTCGGTGTCGGGGTTTCTTGGGATCATGGCCGCTTCAAAACTTTCCAAACATAGTCATTTCCCTATATAAGAACTGTACTTCAAAAAGTTATGTTAACTTAGCTAAACTTTAGCTAAACCCTCTAACCTTTGTAAATTTTTAACATACTTACACCACTTATGTAAACACTTAGCTAAGTCTCTTAACAGTTGTATTTGTTTATCACACTTATAAGTGATTTGCAATATAGATACAACCGGGTTGCAAGCTATTTAACAACATGCTTGCAATCTATATAAACACTTACAAAGCCACGGTTCTTCCCAGCAGGGCCGCCACACGTAGGCTCCATGTAGCGCTAGGAGCGGCAGGAAGGGAGGCAGCGCAACTTTGACTGCGCAACTCCGCGGTCAACGCAGGATCCTCCTTTGCAGGGGCGCCTGCTTCCGGGTCCGGGCGAACCTTTCCCGTCGGATCGTAAAGGGCACGCGGAAGGCCCGTAGTCGCGACCGGCAACATAACGGTTGCGGAGCTAGAGTGGCGCACCTGTGACGACACGAAACGCTGCAATCTCCCCAGCAGAGTCGTGTTAACAGTATCCGAAGTGCGTGGGGATTTGATCCTGGTAATGTTCTGTATCGCTCACCCCACAAAGAGCTGTATTGACTGTTGGCGTGGTTGCCTTCTACAAGCTGGATCACCGTTACTTCCACTTCCACACACGCACTCCTATGCAGGCAGATCCAACGTTCGCTCCTTTTGCACACTCACGGCCGGCGGTGGATCGTCTGTGCACGGGATAGCTCTGTCTACTCGGAGGATCACAAAGATTATAGCACTTTAGCTACGGGCAATGCTTTCTAGAGCTTGTGCTCATTCTTGAGCCAAACGTTGCATGGGCGGTCATACTGAAAGGATGGATAGGCATTGCGGTGTGCGTAGCACTACCACAAGCCTACTCCTAGAGACGAGGGACGCGTAGCGTGCCCCCTTCCCTTGCACTTTACACGGTCTTGCTCACAGCTCTTATAGTGACACCTTGGAACTTGACAAGGCATCGCAGTCCGTTCGCACCCCCCATGAGTTGCGTCTCCGACGCTGCTCACCCGGAAGATGGCACGATAGGAATATCAGAAAATTTTGTTCCGCCGCAACTTTGACATATTGATCAGAGCTTTTGCATCCCAATTAGAAACGTTGTGACACTCATCTACGTCGGTAACGATCCCCTGAAATGGCAAACGAATCAGGCGTCACCGAAGAAAGAGGCATTCGCGATGGAATTCCACGTGCGAAGCGCAGAGGTCACAATCTTGAAGATGAGGTAGATCATGTGCTGTCTCACCGCCATCTTCGCGTTGACGTAGGATCGCGGTCCCAGGGCCGGAGGTTCTCCTCTGGATACTGGTTCCTCTGCTTTCCTTTGTCCTTGCCTTTGTTTCGGCCTTTGCCGGCGATGTAGTCGTGGTAGGAATTGGCGTTCCAACCACCATGTTGCTCATCTCCGGTTCTCTCACGTCCTTTTGAAGGTCCCTTTGCTGAGGAAGCGCTTGCACGTTCCTCCGTGGTGACGGGCGTGTCCATGATGGAAGTACCACCCGGAGGGAGATACTCTTCGGCCGAAATGTGATGTAATGCTTCAGGACGTCGAGTATTCGGATTCTGCTGTCTTTCAACTCTAGACTTGACCAATCTGTCCATGAAGTGCGCTGGCATTTGCACATTGTGGTCCACCAGCAATCCAACGGTCTGGACGGAATAATCTGCATGAGTCAAGAGGATGCCGACCGGGTCGATGTACAGAAAGTCCACTGGTCCAGTAGGCGTGTTTCGTAGTACCGAAAATTGTTGATGTCCTGTCACCATCGGGATAACTTCACATAAGACGTTGAGACAACAAAAGTGCATTGCCTTCACGTCTTCATCCTTGTTGCTCTTCAAGTACGTGGTTGGATTGAAGTTATCTCTGCCGATTCCCATCATGTTGGCTCCCCGTGTCAATAGCGAAAGCAGCTGGTTCGTCCGGAAGCGCTTCAAGGTGTAAGTCCCGTTGGGATCATACGATTTGAGGTTTTCAGGCTCCTTAGCGAAGCGAATGATCTCCTCGTCAGTCACGTCCCTGCTCACACCTGTTTCTTTGTCCACTCCAGCCAAAGTTCCCCACTTTCCGAGCACATCATAGCGTTGGCCAAGTGCGAAATTCTCTCTCATCCGAAACAATGGCATAGTCGCCCACTTCGCGAATCCTGACCAAGCCTTGTAGATGGTTCTGCATACGACGAACGCCATATACGAAAGAGCGGCCATGTTGGCGTCGATGCAATGGGCGTTCCGTTTGCCGTGGTGGTAGGGCGGCTGCATGGCAGTGCGGGCGATTTGCAGCTCAGGGTCGATGTTCAGAGACTGACCGGCGATGAGGACGGGACGTCGTTCCTGTGCCACTGCATCTGGTACTTGGTCGTCAAAGTCCTCTCCCGGTTCCGTGTCCATTTCTTCATCAGGTTCCTGTTCTGGATCGTCATCACCAGCAACGGACGGTTCTGGAATTGCTTCGGGTTCCGCAACCGATTCCGCTTCCATGGCTTCCTGTTCCTCGACGGTTGCTTCAGGTACTGCTGCTGCCGCAGCTTCCATCGTCTGAGCAATGAAATCACTTGGGATCTCCGTTGGAGTATCCCGTTGTGGAGTACCTTGGTAGTATCCGCAAGAAACGAATTGTGACCAGCAGGATGTGCATCGAGAAAAGCATGCTGGAACAATGTTGTAGCACGCTGGGCATACCCTCATTCTCCTGCCATCCTCATCTCTTCGTAGATCTTCGGGTCGCCAGTTCTTGATGACAAACTTGATGCCCTTGTCCATGTAGTGATGTCGAACTGTGTTCTCCCTGTGGGCCTCCAAAACAGTGATAAGGTCTCGCATTATCTGATCCTTGCTTGTGTCATGGGGTCCAGGAGGCATCTCGCAAAGCAATTCCATGATCTTGCTCGGTGTTCGATACCTCTCGAATTCAGGAAGCAATGGAGATCCATTGTAGTCCAACACCATCTCTTTCTCCAATCGTTCATCATAGATCTTTTCCACCAGAGCGAACGAATGTGTATCCTGAGGATTCGGGACGCAAAACCATACCTCCTTCACGAACTGGAACGGTATCGTTCGACCAAGGATGATGACACCGCTGTCAGTGATACGTCCACCTTCTCGGGCAAGATCTGTCGAAGCGACATGGAGGACCACAAGGGGCATGTGCTTGGCTTGCGGCCCATGTACCCGAGTTTTGGTCGTTGCGTTCCGGTCATCGAACGGCGCAAATACCCCCCAGTAACTGTGGAGTCTTCCACCTCGGTTGTCCTGAAATCGACGCCGCTGTTCGAAGTCCCCGTCAGGATCCTCCGAACCAGGCATGACGCCCTGCAGAACGATGGAATCCAAGTTGCGGCATGCCGTAGCGTGGAACGCGCCCCCGAGACGTGTCAAGAGGGTCATAGATGGAGATATTGCGAACCGGTCCTTGTCCAACTGAAGCAAATTGTTCTGGGGATCGGAGTGCGTAGAGTGACCACTTGTGGCCCTGACAGCCCATGGTTTCACCCAGCCATTGCAAACGTTCAGGTACCTCTGAGTGTGTCGGGTACGGTCGTTGTTCTGGATCTCTGTAATCTGATCGGGAACCGACACCAACATGTTCGAGTTCGCAGATCCAAGAGTCTCTGTGCCGGGATTCTTCACTCTCACACCCAGGAATTGTAGCCGGATCTTGGCCCTGTGGCGTTTCGTGGCTGCAAGCATATTCCCCTGGAACAGTAACTGCAGTCTCTCATTGTACACTCTCTTCCTTTGGAACTCGTCGGTCCTTGATACCGCTTCGGTAATGCGTCTGCTTTCGTGGGTCCATAGTTGCTCATGCCTCACCAAGTCTTCTATCAGCACCCACCCTCCTTCATCACATCGAATAACGCTGCTGAATGCCACTTGGCACCGGTTGTCAAGCCATTCGGAACCTGGGCGCCTGGCAATTCTGTGGCGCAAGTCAGATTGAATGCAGGATAGCGCCCATTCTGCGTTCCTTCTTCGATGATGGGTGAGGTTGCGAAGGACAACTTCATTCACGATGTCCCATCGATTGTTGATGAAGCTTGCACCCTTGGTTGGGATCAGGTCAAGAATTCCGCATCGGATTGGCCTTCCGCCGCCGATGGATTCGTAGCCTGGATTTGCCCATTGTTGAGTATTCTCATCATACTCGAAGCTTGGACGATCTCCTCGTTGAGGCAGTCGTCGGTCACGATGGTCCGAAA